AAAAAATTACAAAAAGATAGATAGTGTCTTTTATTAGTCATGATCCGCAGAGACCTGTTTAGTTGAAAAAGCGGTCTGGCAACACTGGTTAGAAAGTTTTTATGAACCGTTATGATATTTAGCTCAAGAGTACGTCTCAACATCTCGTTCGTCACGTTGCTCTTCGACTTTGCGAAGTTCTCTGCGTCTTTTTCGTGAGCGCCACAGAGCAAACTGTTTTCTACGCCATTCTACTACTTGACAAGAGCTTCAGTTTTTCGCCATTTTTTACATTCCATTCTCGTTTCGCATTGATTATTCACAGAAAAAATTCGCAATAACAAAAAATTGATTTCATTCCTTAACGAACAGCCAACAGTGTGTCAATATTAGCCGAATAAGTGGTATATTTTAGGCAGTACTTAAAGTCTATATATATTTCCAAGATAGAGGAGAGAGATAGGTCTCACTAAATTTTGGAAAAAAAGTTAGGTTAGCTATACATATCTACCTCTTAAAATAATAGTAGAAAATTTCAGTGATCTTTTGATTAAAGTTTGAAAAAACATACAGGTCGTGAAAGTGATTATTTGCTTTAATTAATTTGGAGGTTCTATATTTTTTTAGTTTTAGTTTTATGCTATTAGCAAATATTCTGGCATTTTTTGTTTGGAAAAATATTAAATTTACCGTTATTTCTCTTTCTCTCTTACATTAGGGATGCCTTTTCGGAGGATTTTCTACCATCAATTGATTATTTTCGCCTCTGGTACGTATTTGGGTAGATTGAGACTAAAGCGCTAACCGCACCGATCTATCAGATATGAAAGAGAGGCGTAAAACTACAGGATCCCCGATTGTAAAGGCAGTATGCAGACACAGAACATGAATTCGATAACTACATATTATTACTTATTCTAAAGCATCACTGCAACTCAAAATACAAGGAGAGAAATGAAGAACCAAATACTGGAAAATATAAAGTCAGACTTCGGCAAAGCTCATCCCACAGTACCTTCATGATTCGCTTTGAGTCTGTTCAAGTTGATTCTACTGGTAGAATGCAGTGCGACATGTAAACAACAACAATAAAAACACATTATATACTTGCAATCTCTACGAAGATAAATATAACTGCAAGCATATAAGGTAAAATAGAGAAAAAATAACTTTGATATATCAACCTACCTACCTACCTACCTACCTTGATATATAGGTATATATAAATATATCGTTAGGTAGAAATGCAAGAGCAAACAATACTCGTATACATATATAGACAGACTCGTACGTTGAACGTTACGATCGCACGACAGCTAAAATAGCACACTTTATCGTAAACGAACTTCATTGCTGCTCCAGAGCGGAGCTAGGTGGGCGTTGGTATGAAGTAATGCAAGCAGTTCAAGTTCCAAAAATAGCCTAGCAGCAAGTGGTTGCTTGTTAAGAATAAATGAAAATAAATGGAAACCCATGTATACGGAATGCGCGCCAGTACTCGCCGGTAGGCGACGACGATCGGCGCAATACCCTACAAATATGCTAATTGAGAGGAGTTGGTAGATGAACAAGCCAGCAAAGCATACAAAGCGCACGAGATAAATACCTACACATGCGGGTATATACATTCGTATAGACTATATACATAGGACTAGAGGAAGTATGGTTTAGATTGCATTAAAATGAATGAGAAGAATGTGAAGCGTGTTTAAATTTAGCTTTCAGTAGTTTAATGACACAAACTAGCAAGCATGAATTCCATTAGAATTTCACTTAATGCGGGTCACTGCAGACTTGTTGAGTTTGTAAAGTCTATAGATACCAAGATATGCATTATACAAGTATAAGTGACTTTTTGTGGTTTCTATAAAGGTATTGTGTTGGAATTAAAGAAGTAGTCGACCATTATTCTACATGCAATACTAAATAGAATTAATTTATAGCTTAATAAGAAAAAGAGGCAAATGAAGTATAAACTGGCTTCATAAAAAAATGATATATCTACTTATTATGTGTTATATAATATACATATATAAATAATATATAATCGGAATCAACTTGCCTTAATATCATTCGAAATATTAAGCCAAATACGATGCGAAATTTTTGTCTGGCGATAACCATTTTGATATAAGTCGAAGACTAAGCTCAGATCCCAAGCCTGCGGTGGCCGTTTAAATTTATTATAAATAAATGCTTGGACATAACCATATTACAACCACCATATTACATTTTTTGCTTAAAAAAACAAAAACTTCGAAATTTAATAGATATGGCAACACTGTTCGACTTAAACTTAAAATTAAGCCGCCGAAACCATTTCTACGTATTTCTGTTACTCAAATTTTTATTAATTCAACCAATTATGTTTGATAAATTTTATTTAAAATAGGTGGCAACTCTATTTAACACAATTTTCGAGATAAAATTGGCTTACATACCTTTCATATAATGCCACAGATAAACTTTTAGCATTCAGATTCTTTAATTACATTCAATTAAATCTGGTAACCTATTTATCTTAGGTTAGAAAGTTTTAGAATGAAGAACGAAAAATATTTCTCAGGCAACAAAGTTAAATTAGTAAAGTCGGCAATATATGCACAAAAAACAGACACTTTTTAAAAAATATATTGTTTTGCATAAGCATAAACTTATGTTATAAAACTACAGGGGGTTTTGTCTTGTGATTTAATTGTCTTTGCAATTTTGCTCTTTATTCCACTATGAGCTCATCTTAATATTGTGCTGAGCATGTTAATTAACTGGTATTTTAAGCGATATGTATTCGGATATGAGCGCTTCAAATCACTATTATTTATAGTACGATTTATTCGGAATGCGCTTTTGATGTTACTTGGATCGCTTCTACAATTAAAATATGTTCTTAGTCTACGTCGCATGAGTAGAGAGAGAGTTACTTTTAGGAAACGTTAAGGCTTAGGCAACTTGCAAGTATAATATAATATTTAAAATCTTTACTGAAGATTGCAGTATTAAAAATTATACTTATTAGGCAGAAATATACTCATTAGCTATAGCTTAGTTTACTCAGCCTAAAATATAATGAATTTATATGTTAGCTGTAATGTTTTGAGGTTAGTTGTTCTAAAAAAGTTCTTAGACAATGAAGACAACTGCGAAGGTCAACATATAAGAATATAAATTAGAAACCTAAGGCAGTTATTCAGTTTATTGTAAGCTTTTTTGATCAACCAGAGCTAGCTAATGTAATTTAACTTATGCTTCATATTAAATAATGCCTTAATAACCGCTAAGTCAAATTATGTCAACTGTCAAGTAAAATAAACAATATAAAGCTCACAAAATCTTTTACATGTTGTTAAGAGACTAACAAAAAGTTACATTCTTGTCATCTCTTATCGAGTTAATTTCAGTGTCAAGTAACGTCTACTTGAAGTAATTATTATAATTGCATAATTATGACAAAACACTCTTTGTCATTAAGTTGACATGATAATTTAATTGGATTTGTAATTTTAGCCAATCAAATATTGATTAATTATTTATATTGTTTTGCCAAAGTACCATATAAATGAAAAATAAAATCAATATAATCACATATTGAAAACAAAAAAAGCGCATATCTCAAAATAAACTTCAGATTTTCATCCAGACATCTGTTCACATGTTTTGCCAAATAATATTTTAATAATATTTTATTTTCTCATTTCCCTCATGCTTTCGCGCTACTTTTTTCAGTTCACTGATTTTTAAACATTTTGATCTAGCAGCGTATTAAATTGTCAAGTAAGCAATTATTTACTTTTTTCATAATTCTTAACGCTACTTAGCTGTCACTTTTTGTTGTGGTACATACATATATTTTCATGACAAATTAAACATTTACAGTTACATACATGCAGTACCGCTATTCACTTATTGTTAGCAATTTTCATTTTTAATTAGTACTTACTTAAGTCATTTCAATTTTGTTGCTGTCAGCAGAAGCTTTTTTTATTATATAAACGTTGCATTGTTGTTGCAATAAATGTTATATTACATACATATATACTTCATTGATAAAATTTAACGGTGTAGCAAATAAATAATAAGTTATTAGAGAGATAGTAAGTACTCTCATAAGTAATTGTGAGCGAGGTCATTGCCCCTTTTTATGGACTGATTTAAACGAAATCGGGAAAACTGTATGACATTTTTAGGTTAGATTCGTTGAAAGCATATTGATGAATTTCCTACAGCACTCAGAATTATTTCTGATTTTTGGTGCTAGAAAGCATGTGTAAAACCTCCGCTTGATTTCGTTTTCAACAATGATTTTTTATTTAATTTTTGATGTGTTTTCTTAATCTCACGAATTCGTAAGAACGTTTGTTGAAGATAAGTCCCAAACAGAGCAGTATTTTTAGAACAATTTTGGTATAATTTCTGAAATCCGCAATTTACTTCTAATTTATTCCAATTTCTCAATTCAGCTGCGGGAAAATCACCATTTGTTTAAAAATATACATGTAGTAGAACTAATATTACTGATAACATAACCCTGTTTCGCATCCTCGATCTATATTTCTCAACAGTTATGAACTTCAAAGGTTCTCAGAGCAGCTGCCAATCGAGGGAATCAAATCCAAAACTTCGAAAAGGTTTAGTCTACTACAAATAATTGAAACTCGTGACATACATATGAATGAAGCTCTAGATGTACCAGGTATCTAGTATTTTTCTTAAGATCGAAAGTTTCATAGTCAGAACAAGGACGTTCTTATATCCAAAGAAATTTCACACAGATTCTCATAAGAACATGATATCGAAAATAGGAACTACTGCGAAGTCTGCTACGACCCAATTGTTTAGGAACGAAAAAATATTAAATTCCATAAAACTCTTTCGAACCAAGAAATGGAAGATGAAGCTTATCTTAGTAAGAGAATAAATGGAATACCAACTGAATTTTAAAACACTCAATAAAGCCTTTAGCCAAAGCTAAGCAGTCACAACAAAGAAAGTTTTCTTTAAAAAATCATATTTTTTTATTTTTCTTTTTTTTCGCCTAAAATGACTTATAGATACAACTTAATGACTAATTCGACTTGTACTTCCTCCAATTCGCAATTTAACGCTAGTCCATGGCCAATTCAAGATTCACATCGTTTGATCTTCAATAGTGATAGTATTGATTTGGGTTGTAACCCACACCAGCGTAGCCAGCTGGAATGGGAGCCACATAAGTTGGAATGGGCGCTGAGTAGGAGCCGGCAGAGCCGTATGATGGAGCAGCAGCTGGAGCGGCACAAGCGACTGGCGCTAAATTAGGTTGACAGCTGAAGAGATAGTTCTTTGGGCAAGGAGGTGCTAGAATGCTAGCGGCGCCACCACCATAAGCAGCTTTACGGAAACGGCTCAAATCGTAGGCACCTTGTATGTTTTGTTCGGCTTCAGCTTCCTGAACACCGGATGCAGCACTACCAGTGGGACTAGCCAATGCAACGCTGAAGATGGCGGCGAAGAGAGCAATGCAAACGAAAGATTTCATTGTGAATGTTTTGAGTTGCGTTGGTTGGGTGCTTGTAATAACTTGAACCGTGAAGCTACCGCAGTGAACTGATAATAGCAAACGGCTAGCGATGGGTCTTATATACCCAAAAAATGCTAAATATTGGCTCCCCTTTAACTGTTCTGGAACTCGATAATTTTTTTTTTTGGAATATGTTATATTTCTTTTGCTAGGGTTAGCAAAAACCCAAGAAGTATGCATAATTTTTGTTGTAAAACTTTTTGCTTTCAATTTATTTTGCCGTGTTGTTAACTACGACGTGAATATGAGTTCGTAGCGAAGGTTCATCCGGTTCACATAAAAATCTGATTCTGCAATTTTTTTCCCGCACTGAGTGCATTCACATTCGTAGGAGTTTTTTTTTTTTCTTTCTTTTATTCTAGGTAACATTATTACGGTGTCAATGCCTTGACATTTATTTTGGTATAATTAATTTTGGCTCGTGAATTGAGCAATTTTCTTTTATACCTTTCACGTTAATGAATGAATTAATATACGGTTTCTCTGACAATATTGTGGAAAAATGGCGGGAAAATGGTACCGATATGGCATCTATTTTTTTTAGCACATTTTACGTTGCAGACCCGATAATTTTTAATTTATGTGTGTTGCAATTCGTGGTGGTTCAAAATGTATAATATATCTAATTTAGAGTGCGTGAGTTTAGATATATATTGGATATATAGAAGGCAAACATGGTGAGTTAGAAATTTAAACAGAGTCGAAACGAGCCAAACTTAGAGCGAGTCTTCGATCGAGAAATAACTTTACTCAACTACATGCTGAGTACTTATTGGCAGTTAGGAGTATATTTAATCCAAATCTCGCGCTGTTGATGGCACCGATTATTCGAACCCTATTTAGTGGTAAAACAGATACATACCTATATCTTGTTAATGTCATCTGAAGCTGGTTTCGAAAAACGAATCTTTTCGAAAGGATCTTAGAAAAATGGTTGTTGGACGAATAAGTTTGAAGCGGTTAACAAATCGGTTAGTATAATAAAATTATACAATTACTTCATTATCTAAGTTTTATCTAGGCATCAAACATTTAATTTCAGTATTTAATCAGTGACGAGCTCATATTGATAATGAAATAGAAGTAAGTCAACGAAGTCAAAAAATTTTGATAGTATTATATAATATTATTTTTTTAGTTTAGACCTCACTAAAACCCGATACAAGTCTCGAGTTTTAAATGTTTCAAGCCTTTTCCTATGTTCCAACAGATTTTATGTGATTTTTAGGAGAGAATTACTGTAGTGTATTTGACATAAGTATGTTAAGCAGTCGAGAAATAACTACCGTTTGTAAATAATCAAAATTTTTTTATTTGGGTGTGAGCTTAAAGCCACGTCCCTACGCCACGTCATTGCACTTATATATCTGTATCTAATGCTAATATTTATTATAAGCAAAATAGTTTGACCAGTCGAAAATAAATCAGGTAGTGGATGGGTCACAATATCACAATTAACGAATCCGTTGCTTACGAAGTTCGAAAAGTCGAACATAAATAATATATACGACGATCCTATACAAGTATATCTATTGAACCATAAACGAACACGACAACAACATTAAATAAGAAGACAAAGTTTCGTAGTAAAAGTGAAGGTAAAAATAAGTGCGTTTCTCAAGAAGCCGCCTATATTATGGTAAATGCATTGAGATGGCATATCTTTCGAAAAATCGTGTTGATTTTGATTAGGAACATAACTTGATTACAAACATATATAATATACCCTTAGGATCTAGTGCGCACTAATTTCGTCTAATTTACGCAAGAAAGTACAAACTTTAACCCTAAAATTTTTGCAAAAAAAATGTACACCTTATAACTAAATATATACCGTTATTATTAATACTAGTAACAAATATATATATACATATATATGTATAGATGTATGCATCTAAAAACGCAAATATTTATCAAGTATTTATATAAATAAATTACGTCAATCATTAGAGACTACTACTCACATTTTGCACACAATTGAAATTCCACAGGTCACAGCAGGAGAATAAAAAGCCAACAATGTTGAGTGGTGAGTATACAGACGGTCAACGAGTTGAAAGTGAATGCGTTGCGGATAATTTAAACAACACACACACTAAATCACGACTTTTTTCGAAGCACTTTTCGTCGACACAAAGCGATTATTGTAAAGTGAGTAAGGTAGAACCGCAAGTTACCGGAATGAATCACTTTTTATTTAGCACGAGATCGCAGCGAGATCACTACAACTTGCCACAACACACGAAAATACAAAATTTATGCGTATGTATGTAAGTACACTTTGATTTGAATTTAAATTCAGTTGATTTTTGTTGTTGTTGTTATTTTTCTAATACACTTCTCTACATGTAGATTTAGTATTTTTTCAGCCAAAGTTGTTCAGTAACTATTTTCGCCTTTCTTTTTACAGTAATTTCTCACAGTTGCGACAGCGAGCTGTAGAAAGTGAAAGCGTGCATCGATTTTAGCGCGCGAGACGGACAAAGCTGCAGGGGCGTGATGTCACACATGTGCGGGAGGTCACTTCACCGAACATGAAACAAAAAAAAAAAAAACGACACTTTTTTCAGTTTTTATCAAGCATGATGTCGACGTGCTGCCACAAAATAAAAAGTCGGTGAATTAAAATTAACAACAACAAAAACAGAAACAAAAGCAAATACAGAAAAAGAATGCAGTCAAAAGAATGCTGCTGTGCAAGAAGCGGAGAGAAAACATATGATTGTGTCAGCCGGTGAACGTTGCCGAGTGCTTGTTGTAGCTGCAAGCAACAACAAACGAAGTGCACACACACACACACACAAACGATTACATTGTTGCACTTGACATGCACAATTGAGTGAAGACGAACAACGACCGGCGAGTGCGCTGTCAACTTCGGATTGTCGCTTAGGCAGTTGGGCGGTCGGGTGGTAAAGGCGCTGACGCTGCTGCGGCGTGGGTGAATGCACCGCAGCAGCAGCAATCTCATGTGTACTTATGTATGTGTGCGTGTGTGTTTGTGAGGAGGGTGCGCTTTAGAGGCAAAACAGTTACAAATCCGCATCAACGCTAGTCTGGTACAAAAACAAAAGCCACAAGTCGTCGCAGCCGGTGCTGCAACAACAGGAAATGCAAATTTAGAAGAATGCAACAGAATTCTTTATTATTTTATTATTTTGTTATTTATATTTTTTGTTGTTATTAATTTGCTCGTCGTTTTTGTTGTTGTATTTTTGTTAATAAAACTATTTTGTATGCCCCCAAGTTGTTGTTGTTTTATGCACTTGTCTTTCATCGCGTCGTTTTTTGCGAAGTCTGCGGCTTCACACACATACTACATGCTTATGCGTACAAGTGTGTGTGTGTGTGGGTTTGTGCTTATGTGCATATTTGGACGTTTGTTTGCTTGTGCTTGGAAATAACACTGCTGAGCCGCGCCTCATTAAGCTACGCCGCCTTTTTAATGATTTGCTTTACACTTCGTTTATTCATTCGCGTTTTATATTTTATTTTTATTTTTTTATTTTCTCATTTTTTATTATTTTTATATTTTATTATTTTAATGTCTTTTTATTATCTTATTTGCTTTTATTTATGTTTTACTTTGTCGCCGCTTTTCGCTGTTCAACGGCGAGCGCGCTCACGCCACTCAATGAATAACAAGTTCGACTGCGGCGCTGGCGGTGCCGTCACTACTGTGCGGGAGGGGTGGAGTGCGTGTTAGCACAAAAGTAGATTTCATTTGCGTTGTCGCACGCCTTTGCTTGGCTTTTTTGCTATTTGCTATTTTTAACTTTTTATTGCATGGATTTTTATTTATATAAGTCTAGCTTAAAATTTATATTTCTTGTTAATGCTGTTGCTATTTTAGTTGAAGATGGTGCTGATGTTGTTTGCTTAGCAAACATATGTTGGCATAGTTATATATGTGTGTGCGTATGTTGCTGGAGCTTAAGCTTTGTATTTTGATTTGATAATCTAATTCACAGCCGCAGACGTCAGTATGTGCACACACACACTACAAACAAATGCACTTACAAAAGGAATTCTCAAGCGTGTGCGTAATGGTTTTGGGGGCATTGAATTTATTTACAATGAGAAACCGCAAGAGACAATGGCTGCTAAAGGAATCGTAGATGAACAGACAGACATGCATAATTAATAAAATATTTAATTAAATTACATTGTAGAAATCAAATTTTATTAAGCGTAATTACTTAATGCAAAGTAAAATAAAAAAAGTTGGAATAAAGCACAATTAATCCAATATACTAGCGAAAGATGAGAATTTCATAATTTAAATCTAATTAACTGAAAAATAAATATATTTTTTATTTAAATATGAAAAACAATAAAAATATAAAATAATGAAGGTATAAAAAAATAATAGAAATATTAAAAAAATAATAAAAATATAGCTAAAACAAGTAAGGAAGTGCTAAGTGCGGGTGTAACCCAACACTTTATACTCCAGCAACTTTAAAAAAAGTTCTTCATTTAATTTTATTATCACATATTTTGTCTGGTGGAAAGTCGGAAATTATTATACAGGCTATATGGGGACAGAGAAAAGGATGGGCTGATTGAGTTAATTTAGCCATTGCTGAGGTATTATATATTTGAGAACATACTTTCAAGCAATTTTATAAATATTTGTATAACTCACACATTGAACGACATAAGATCGGCATTGGATTTGTTAGAATAACGAAAACTAATATACTACGTACTTGTAGTATGAGAGTTGAGGTAATTCGTAAACTTAATACACATATTTTCAGCATTAAACTATAATATAATCAATATTTCACGTTCACTTAATTTTGCTAAGATATCTAATATATTGACTGATATATATATACATATGTATAAATGTATGTATGTATAAAAAGTTATAAAAGGTTTTTTATCTTGATTTTAATCAGTCAGTTTGTATGGCAGCTATATGCTATAGTGCTTCGATCTGAACAATGTGTTCGGAGATTGTAGTGCTGTCTTCGATAAAAATCCGTGCTAAATCTCGTAAAATAAAAAAGTGTTCCATACGGGAAGTGGTGGTCCGTTATGAAAGGTTCCGACATATGAGCAGCTTCTTGGGAAGAAAAGAAAATTTCAGAACGATATCTCAAAAACTGAGGAACTAGTTCGCGTATATACAGACAGACGGACATGGCCAAATCTAATCAGCTCGTCATGCCTATCTTTTATAAATATACATACATATGTATATATTTTATATACATCCGACGTTTTCTTTTGCCTGTTACAAACATCGTGGCAAACTTAATATACCCTGTTCAGGATATAACAAAAGACTAAGCTAAATTAAGAAATACAGAAATTTGTATTTGTCTACATAAAGTATTAAAATAATAAAAATTAATTATATATTATAAAATAGAAAATACATACATTTTCTGATTAAAATGAATAAATAAAATTTGTCATGTGTAAACACATAAAATAATTCATTAAAATAACTTAATTTTAAGAATTAAGGTAAAATAAATAAATTAAATATATCGAAATATGTAAACAGTTTATAATTTAAAACACACATACAAAGCATACTAAAATATATATATAAACAAATTTAAAAAGTCCAATTTATACAGAATATGCTCCAATATTTGTAGTTTAAATACCTACATATTCTCAGTACGCTAGCTAGGGCCATCAAGCGGCCAAAGAGTGACAAATAGGATTTAATTCGATAAATTTTTTCGTGTTTACATTTGTGACACATAAACATGAGTTTATTATATTTTCATACATATGTACACATTTATGCATGTATATGTATATATGTACATACATCTGTATATTATTTTATACGTTCTGTGGTCACAATCAAATCAAATTTATTTTTATTTTCTGCACCACTTCTTGACACGTCACATAACGCGCCGGCTGTGCGTCAAACTGCTGGTCAATTTGCCATTGTTTACAAAACAAAAATCAAAGCATGCTACATTTTGAGTAGCTATAAAATAATTCAGTAAAAAGTTGGCTGGTTGGTGAGTGGGTAGACTACGCAGTTAAACTGTCTAAAGTTGTTAGCAACATCATCCGTGTCAGCCGTTCACCTCCAACAACAACA